TATATATATATTTACACACATATATATATACTAATGTTTTTTTTTATTGAGAAAGTATATCCTTGATATCGGCGATACCTTTTATGATTTTCAATAAAATTCATAAACTAAATCAGTGACTAACCATTTTTTTTTCTTTAGCTTGTATTTAATTATTGAATTTAATGTCACCAATTTTTTTTTTTACTTTCTTCAATTAGATATATCTTATGGGTCTAAAGTTTAAGTGTGTTGTAAGCCTTGGAGATTAAATAGATTTACAATGAAAAAGAACTAGTGATAAATGTGATTCTATTAAAAATCATTTAGCTTTTTTGTCCATGGACTTATTTAATCCTTATTGATTGGAAAAATAATTGATCTTTAAACTCGAAGTAATATAATTAACCAAAAAGAATTACAGATTTTTTTTTACTGATTTAGAAAAAAATGTTATAAGAAAATTTAATTATTGTAAATAAATTTTGTTTGGCACTGTATATATGAAAAATCAAATTCTATTGGATAGGATTAGTTTGGATTATCAGAGTTTAGATAATTTCATTTAAAAACGTACAATTTTTTGGGACTTAACGTATATATTTATTTATAATTATTATACAGTCTCTCACACTCGATATTTCTCGTCGTATAAATCTTTCGCAATAATTTTTCCTCTCCCTTATGTTTCTTTCTATTCGTTCTCACGCAGACGAAAAACAAACAAAAGTATATCTATTTAATAGAAGAAAATTAATTAAAACCCACCTAATTTTTTAATTTTATTTTAATACAAACAATTTTTTTCGAGTATATTTCAATAATTCGATTCGTATACTTATTCTGTATAACTTTTAATCGCGATTAACACACGTTCGTTATTTATTTTTTTATTTAATTTTTTTTTCTTTACAGTAACAACAGCAGCAATTAATTATCAAGTTTAAATCGTAATAAAATAGAAAAAAGATAATTGCGATCGACGGGCCGTTCGATTCAACAAAATCATACGAAAATATTGTAAATTTTATAATTTAATTTAATTTAATTTTTGCATATAAATCACAAAACAATCGAACGAGATAAGAAACTTTGGCAAAAAGCTGTTTGAACCTTTGGCAAACGACGATCAAGGATAGATCGTACAGTTATTGATCACTTTTTACTGAAATGATTTACTTTTGTTTCTATTTATTTATAATAGGTTATAATTATTATAATAATAACGCGATTATAGATATATACATATATTCTTTTTACTTATTTTTTCTATGAAATCATGTCAAATTCATTTGAATTAAAACTTCGACATATAAAAAAATCGAAGTGTAAAATTATTTATATTTATATAAATATATTATAAAATTTCTAATTTCTTTTATAATTGGAATAATAATTATAGAAATAAAATATTCAGATAAAAATTCAACCCTTATCTCAATACAAAGAGAATGCAAACAATTTTATTTTTTATTACTTTAAGTAGCCTACATATTTTTTATTACTTGTGTAAGATACAAAAGATCATGATTATTTTAATTATTATATTTCGTATCATTGATTTAATCAATAATTGTACTACGATTTACCCTATGTTAATAAAAAATTGGTGTGCCATTAATTAAAAACAAAAAGTAATAACAATTAGCTATGAAATAAGATATCGTATTTAAGAAAAACACATTAATTTAATAGAAAATAAAAGGGAGTGGAAAAATAAAACAAGTAAAGTAAAGGGCATACGTTAGTTAGAAACGTAACTTTACCAACTATCACAGACGATTCGTTTAAGGGGAAAATAAAAGATCCGCGAACCGATAAAAAAATAATAATAAAAAATAAAAGAAAAGAAAAATATTGTTGCGAAGAAGGAACACGTAGGGACAGATTATTACCGTTGGGGTAAATTAATTAATTAATTAACCCTTTTAATTAGTATGTCGCGTTTAAAGTGTAAACAAAATATTATTTGCTGTTGCAGCTATATTATTTCGATATTCGATATATTTCGATTATTTATATTTATTTAATTTGTTTTATTTCCAAATATGATAAAAAAATATATAAAAAAAAATTTTAGCTAACAATCCAATCACAAATTCATCTGAATTAAATTACAAATACACCCCAAACAAGATCCTTATAAGATAATAATCTATTTCAAAGGATTCATTATTTTTCATTCATCGACTTAACGTAACTCGTGTCAGAACTTTCACAGGGAGGGAGGGGGATCAAATAACAATAGTATACTAAATACACTAATGGCAGTTTGTTTTTATCAAAGGATTAAAAACGAGTGTCTATCGTGATTATTATTCGTAATACATACAAAAATATCATTCGATCTGAAGCACCCCAACCCTCACCAATTTCGACCACCAACTTCCAACCATCATCGCGTTAAATTCCATCGCGAGATTAATAGCAAAGATATAACAATGAAAAAAAAAATTTTCAAAATCAAACCAAATGAAAATACAAAGTTTAATTATAATCAAAATCGAATTGATTAATTCGAACAGCCCGACGATCAAAAATTTTTCGAATTTTTTTATCGAGACGTCATTATCGATGATTATTAAACACGAATTACACAAATAAAATATATTATGTATATTGAAAAAAAAAAAAAAAAAAAAGAAAACAATTCAATACGAATTAGAGAAAGGCGATACATACATATTTTTCCCGAAATATTCACCATTCCATTACGCATGATTTTATCTCACTTTTTCTCTTTTTTTTTCTCTCTCTCTCTCTTTTTATCTTTGTTTTTTTTTTTTCATTTTTTTTGTTGGTACGTACGTATTTATGTATTTATATGTATATGCGTGTGTGTACGTGTGCATGTATTTATATACATCTCGTGTAAATTCGTCTCATCAATTTTTAAATCTATTATAAAAGAATTTAAATCTATATATATATATATATATATATATATACGGGGAGAATTGGTACAATGTTGATACAATTGTTTTGCATGGTTTTTTTTTTTCTTATATAACTCATTCGTTTCATTCATTTTTTGTTTTTTATACTTATATAATTCTTTCATTCTCACATTCTTTTATTCTCTTTCTCTCTCACTCTCATTCTTTCTTTCTCTCTCTCTCTCTCTCTCTCTCTTTCTCTCCGAAAATTATTTTAATCGATCACTAATTCTCACCCCTTTCGGGTGACACACCCTCATTTAATCCCACATTATTAATATTCTACATTTTGTTCGCACTAGCGCGATAGGTAACATAACATAATTAATTAAAACATCTATCATTCTCCGTTTATTTCGAATCCCATGATTGATTTTCGATCATACAAATCTGGCAAGTTTACGCATCTCGTCTTCGTGTTTAGTCCGATATTACGAAAATTCATTTTTATTTATTTATTTGTTTGTTTATTTATTTATTTAATTGTTTTTCTTTTCTGTCATTTTAGAACGGGGCTATATGACAACCAAAAACAAATTCAAAATAAACGAAATTAAAAAATATGAAATGAAAGAGTAAAACTACGATGTTTCGAGCCGCTTATTCATTTTGCTTTTCTTTGTTTGCACTTTGTTATTTATATACTCGCAATAATCGTTAATAATGATAAATATTTAACATAATGATCATTGTAATCAATAACGAATAAAAAATACTGTGTTAGAATGCTTGATAACATAATCATTCGAATAATCTTGAAATACTTGGATGGCTGATCTTTGTATCGTCGTTTATATTTATTCTTTTGTTTACTTATTATTTTCTTTTTCCTTTTTTTTTTTTACTTTTAAGAGAAGAAGATGATATAACAAATATATATACTATATATATATATATATTATATATATGTATATATTATTATATATAACATTATTACAATGAGAGGAGAAAAAAGAGAAAAGTATTTACCAAACTAATTAATTATACGATAGAAGGAGAGTGACAGTTGAAAAAAGCAATAATTAATAGCGACACTATACAATGGTAAAAATGTTCAATGTACAATATGCTTCCTTATGGTTGTTTTTTTTTCTCTCTCTCTCTTTCATTTTATGTATATGTATGTGTATCCGTACACGTGTGTGTGTGTGTGTGAATTAGTTTAAGTGTTGTAATGTTATGTAGTATAATAATAATAATAGTTATCATAGTGATAGGATCACGTTCTTGCTATTTATCCATAAACGTTGGTAGTAATAGTAGTAATAGTAATAGTAATAGTAATAGTAATAGTAATAGTAATAGTAATAGTAATAGTAGTAGTTCAGTAGCAAAATATTTCTTCGCGTTCTTTTCTTTTTTTTTTTTTTCTTATTTTTTTTCCCCCTTCATCATCTTTTTCTTCTACGTCATCATTTTCTTTATCATTTTTTCTTCATCTTCATCATTTCTTTTTTCCTACAGAAATTACATCCCTTAAGGTCGAACTTTTTTTTTTTTTTTTTTTTTTTTTTAAATACTTTAAATATAAGTATATAATAATAGCGTGGCTAATTTTAATTGATGACAATAATCGAGTCGTGGCTACGAAAAAAAAAAAAAAAGAACAACGAATAAAATGTGTCACTAAAATTTCTTATGTTTTTATTTTCTCCCCACAATTTGTTGTTGTTGTTATTTAATAAAAAGTAATAAAAAGGTTTTCAAAGTTCAAAGTTTATCTTCTTATAAACTACCTATTTATTATTTATTTTCTTCTTCAATTTGTTCTTTCGGTCTAAAAAAAAAAAACAATTAATTTTTTATTAACAAACGGCAGCCAAGGGTTATTTTACGTACAAAAGGAACCTGTAAGTTGTCTCAAAAACGTTTCACGTTATTTTTTTTTTGCTTTTTGTTGTATCTTTTTTTTCGTTTTGGTATTTCTCTTTTTTTTTTTTTTTTCTTTTAAATTATGTGCGTGCAAAATTGGACCCTCGATACTTCTCATTGATCACCGTACTAATAATATTCATTTTCTTCTCTCTCTCTCTTTTTTTTCCTCTTTCTTTCATTTCCATTTTCATTCTCATTCTTTTTCATTTTTCCTCTCTCTTTGTTTAGCACGTTATAAAAAAATAAAACGAAAAGCGGACACACGCGCAACGTGGATCAACTACTCTCGTCGTAATCGAATTCACATCAAATTTTTAGATTCAAACATAACTATTATAAAAATGTTGTCCCTCGGTAAACTTTGAATCATGTCTTTCGTTTCTCTTCTTTAATAATAATTTTTAAAATATATTATGATAATTTGTTTTTTGCAATAAAATATAAATCTCTCTCTCTCTCTCTCTCTCTCTCTCCCTCTTTCTCTCTTTCTCTCTTTCTTTCACTAATCAATTTGTTTCTCTTCCAAGACATTTTTCGTCGGTCTTCTTTTGTTTTTTAATTCTCTCAATAACTCGCATACAAATAAATCTAAAAAAGAATTTGTGGTTTTATTAAATATTTTTAATAAAATAATAATTTTTTTTAAATTCTCATTTAAAACTCTAACACGACAACGATCTTCGTCGTGTGCATTTTTTTCGCAAACAATGAAATTTTTTCTTTGTTTTTTTTTTTCATTTCGTGTTCGTGTGTTACACACACACACACGCTCACACATTATTGATATAATATTAATTTATTATATAATTTGTTTGTTTGTTTTTTTCTGTCCCTAGTTTTGTTTAAATTCTATCATAAATATATTTATATATTTATATATATCGAAATATACAAGTTTAATTTTAGCTTGATATCGCATGTAATTTTTTTTTTCTTTTTTATATATTAAAAATTCACACTTCGTCATATTTTCGCACATTCCTACAACTCTTCTTATTCATGTATACATTCATGTATTTGTGTATGTTAATATAAACAGAGTGAGATCGAAATGAACTTTCATTAAAAGAAATTTTTAAATAAACTATTTTTTTTATATTAATTTCTTTGCATAAATTGTTCAAATTAGTGTCCATTATACTCAATACACGACTCACTGACGTTCAATCACCAATTTACAGGTGTAACTGCATGTAATTGCATAAACAATAAGTTATTTATCGTAAACGAATCTCTGAGCAAATTGAATTTTATCACATCCTGTATGTACATGCATATGGTTTTTGTTCTGTTCATATCTTTTAAAAAGTATATAGTATTCTCGATACAATCATACAGCGACAATAATAACAAAATATAAAACGATCAAGATCGTATGTCGATTAGAAAAAAAAAAAAAATGAAAATAATAATAAAACTCAAAATAAAATTTAGAAAATAGAAGCAAAAAAATCTTGTTTTCCTACCGTCTTGCAACATTTTGTTTCAAAAAATCAAACAATAAAATATCCGTATATACTCGTACAATTTGGACAATGATTAATTTAAATAACAGCATAAAATTTGTTTTCTATCTCTTTCTCACTTTTTTTTCTTTTTACTTCACACATACGCTCTCACTTTTTTTTTTTATCTGTATATTATTCGTATAAAGCCCAATTTTTTTATTTCCATTCCTCGATCTAAATGATTTTCATGATTTTTTTACAATATCATATAATTTTTTCTTGACGCATTTCTCACTAATACGTTACAATAATTTGTTTCTTTTTTGTGCTTTTTTTTTTTTCAATATCATAATTTCATAAAAACAATTAATAAGAAAGCGTTTCATTTTTAACAAGAATAATGATTAAAATAAGACACTATATTACGTAATAGTGATATATCTTTTTTTCATTTTCTTGTTTCGTTTCTTAAAATCAACGCTCACTTCTTTTGTAAAATACAAAATGGGTTTTTTTTTTAACTTCGTAATTTCACCAGATAAAAACTTTAATTCGTCTTTTCTCCCTTCCATTCTTTCTTTCATTTCTTTTTCTAAAATTGACTGCACATTCGTAAAATCGTCTACGATTTACATAAATCTGCGTGTGCATGCAGAAACCTGATATGTGACATTTTTTATTTTATATATATATATCTATATATATTGGAAAAATATATTACTTTTAACGCTATATCCATTATTGCGATCTAATTCATTTTAGAATATATTTCTATTAAAACTTCCTAACGAGTTTCAATTGAATTTCTTATCAAATAAAATAAATAATCATATAAATAATAGATTCTAATAAAATATACAAATTATTTTATTGTAAATAAAATTATTTGTTAAAGTTTCAACAAATTAGTTCAGTTACTTATCAAGTTCTTGCATGCACTCGACAGAGAGATATTATTTTACAAGCGTTCAAAACACAACATAAAAATCATCGTGATGAAAATAATTTTCTTCTAAATTCCGTAAACACGATTATAATTTTTTCCGAAATAAAACAAATAAATTCTATAATTCTTTTCTATTAATCTCTTATCACATTTTCATTATTAAAACGAAAGTATTATCATTATCATGATTATAAAATAATTTTTATAACAAAACAAAACAAAACAAAACGAAAATCAAAATCTAATAAAAAATGTGTAATCTTATGAAGAATGCGTGTGTGCATTTGCCCATATAACACGAAAAAGATAAAATCTAATTCACACACACACACACACAAAACAAAATATTAAAATAATTTAATAAAAATATGTTTTTAAATTTGCAAAATTTATCGCGGTTACTTATCAAATTCTTTCGTACAACCGACAGAGAGAAATTACTTTACACGCGTTCAAATAATCTAAAAAATATCACCGCCATGAAAATCATTTCTTCTAATTTTCGCAAACACGATTGTGGTCCTTTCAAAATGAAATCAAAGATTCTATACATCTTCCTAACTCATCACTTATCTCGCTTTAAGTATTGAAACAAGCTCATCATCATTATTATCATCATCATCATTATCATCATCGTAATGATGATTATAAAAAGATTTTTATGACAAAAAAAAATAAATAAATAAAAATCATACGAATCTCGTATAATTGCATACAGTACAAACCTCCGTTATATGAGAAAATTGGGGAAAAAAGTGCTCATATGAAATAATTTTCTACATAATAAAACAACAAGAAGCGTTCATAATATTCAATGTTTTAATAAATCGAGACAAAAAGAAATAAAATAAATGGAAAGAATCAACACATAATCGAAAAGAAATAATATTTTTCCGATTTTTGTTCTTTCTTTTAACAAATTAACATATATGGATCCCAAATTTAACTGGCAGCCAAATCACATAATCTCTTCAATATAAGTCTTTTAGCGTAATTACAATAAAGTTTTATATAGCACGTATGTCATTATAAAACTGAATTATTATGATAGATTTCGTCCTGCAAAAAAAAAAGCAAATCATATTTATTATTATTGAATAAGATTGTATATTCAACCACTAAATCGTATTCACCGTCGTTTGCATTGGAATAATCAAAGATTAGAAAAATTCGATTAGATAAGAACCATTCCTCGAATTTAAAACCAAAAAAAGAAGTGAAATTACGAAACCTGAAAATGAATATTAAAAACAATTGAAAAAGCTTGTAAAAAACAAAAAATGTATATAAGTAATATTCATTAATTATTAATTATATGTTTGCGTATAACGCGTATTCATATAATGGAAGTTCTATACTGTATATGTAAAAACTTACGTGCAGATTTACATGATATGCGAGGGAATTTTGTCCATGAATGCACAATTCTCATTAAAAATGAATGTAATATGCATACAAAAATCTAACGAAGGACCGATGACTATTTTCTTCTTTTTCTTCTTCTTTCATTCGCCTCACTTGTTTTCATTTCTTTTTATTTAATCAATTTTGTTTGTTTTAATAAGATACCATTGTAAAATACGATATTATCCTGATTTACAAAAGTTTCCGATTACTATAACGTGCTCTCTCTCTCCCTCTTTCTCATTTCAATCATCGAAAATTAAATATTTTTGTTACCCCTTCCTCAGATAGATTAGCAACACGCATTTATTGCGCCGATTAAACGCGTTACGTAATCTTTCTTTTTAAACTAGCTCGAAAGTTTACGATCGTCAATCGTATTATTTTTTTTTTTCGATATTCTCGATCATTTACACTGACAATCACAAAGCTTAGGGTGTAATTAACAAACGAATCACTCTTCCTCTTTTAATTAATATTATTATTATTATTAATATTA